TGCATTTTTAGGAGAGACGGCGTTTTGCCATGTTAGCTAGGCTGTTCTCAAACTCCTGGCCTCAAGTGATCTGCCTGCCTCAGCCTCCCAAAGTGCTGGGATTACAAGGGTGAGCCACCACGCCTGGCCTCTTAGTTATTTAAAATGTATGATTAGGTTCTTACTGACTAGTCACCCTGATGCCCTATCAGATAGTAGGTCTTAATCAGTGTTTCTAACTATTTCTTTGTACCCATTAATAATTCTTACCCAGCTGCCCCCACTCCCCTTCCCAGCCTCTGGTAGCCATCCTTCTACTCTGTATGTCCATGAGTTCAATTGTTTTGATTTTTAGATACCAAAAATAAGCGAGAACATGGGATGCTCATCTTTCTGTGCCGGGCTTATTTCACTTAACATAATGACCTCCAGTTCTTTGTTGCAAATGACAGGATCACATCCTTGTTTGTGGCTGAATAGTACTCCATTGTGTGTGTGGACCACATTTGCTTTATCCATTCACCTGTTGGTGGACACTTAGGTTGCTTCCAAATCTCGGCTGTTGTGAATAGTGCTGTAGTCAACTTGAGAGTGCAGCTAACTTTTCAATATACTGGGTGTCTGGCCAGCAGAGGGATGGCTGGGTCACATGGTAGCTCTGTTTGTAGTTTCCGAGGAGCCTCCAAACTGTTTCCATAGTGGTTGTCCTAACTTACATTCCCACAAAAGTGTGTCAGGATTCCCTTTTCTCCAAATCCTCGCCAGCATTCATTATTGCCTGTCTTTTGGATAAAAGTCACTTTAACCGAGGTGAGATGGTAGCTCACTGTAGCTTTGATTGGCACCTCTCTGATGACCAATGGTGTTGAGCTGCTTTTCAGATACCTGTTTGCCATTTGTGTGTCTCCTTTTGAGAAATGTCTGTTCAGATCTTTTGCCCATTTTTTGATTGGATGATTAGATTTTTTTTTTTCCTGTAGAGTTGATTGAGCTCCTCATGCATTCTGGTTATTAATCCCTTGTCAGATGAGTAGTTTGAAAATATTTCCTCCCATTCTGTGGATTGTCTCGTCACTTTGTGGATTATGTCCTTTGCTGTGCAGAAGTGCTTTAACTTGCTGTGATCCCATTCGTCCATTTTTGCCTTGGTTATTTGTGCTTGTGGGGTGTGGCTCGAATTTTTGTCCAGACCAATGTCCTGGAGATTTCCCCCAGTGTTTGCTTTTAGCAGCCTCATAGTTTGAGGGCTCCAATTTGAGTGTCTAATCCATTTTGCTTTGCTGTTTGTATAGGTGAGAGCTAGAGTCTAGTTTCACTCTTCTGCGCATGCATATCCAGTTTTCCTAGGACCATTTATTGAAGAGACTATCCTTTCCCCAGGGTATGTTTTTGGCACCTTTGACATAAGTGAGTTCACTGTAGGGGTGTGGGTTTGTTTCTGAGTTCTCTAGTCGGTTCCATTGGTCTATGTGTCTGTTTTTATGCTAGGGCCATGCTGTTTTGGTTACTATAGCTTTTCCTGTGTTTTTCTGTTGACACATAATAAACACTTTTAAGTGTAGATGACACTTAAAACTCTGTCTTCTAACTATTTCGAAACATACCAAATAGTATCTTTATCTACACTCATCCTTCTTCCCAGTAGCACACCAGAACTGATTGTTCCTGTCTAACTGACCCTGCACCCATAAACTACACTGTCTCCATCCCAGGGCCCTCTCCTCTCCCCAGCCTCTGGTAACCACTCTTCTATTCTTCACTTCTGTGACATCTGCTTTTTAGGTTCTGCATATGAGTGATGTCATGTATCACGAAGTGTGTATATTTATGTGCCTGTGTCCTCCAGGTTGATCTATGTTGATCTATGAAAATGACAGGATTGTTTTTTCTTTATATATATATTTTTGAGATGAACTCTCACTCTGTCCTCCAGGCTAGAGTGCAATGGCGCGATCTCGGCTCATTGCAAACTCTGCCTCCCAGGTTCCAGCAATTCTATTGCTTCAGCCTCCTCAGTACCTAGATCACAGACCTGCACCTCTATGCCCAGCTAATTTTTGTGTTTTTTGTAGAGATGGAGTTTCACCATGTTGGCCAGGCTGGCCTCTTGAACGCCTGGCTTCAAGTCATCTGCCTGCCTCGGCCTCCCAAAGTGCTGGGATTACAGGCATGAGCCACCATGCCTGACCTGGGTTGGATTTTCTTTGATGGCTGAATAGTATTCCATTGTGTGGATAGCCAGATTTTCTTTATCCATTCATTTGTTGATGGACGCGTGGGTTGATTCCAGATCTCAGCTATTGTGAATAGAGCTGGATTAAACATGTGAGTGCAGATATCTCTTCCACGTGCCGATTTCACTTGCTTTGGGCATATGCCCAGCAGTGGAATTGCTGAGTCCTTTGGCAGCTCCATGTGGATGCTTTGAGGAGCCCCCATGCTGTGCTCTGTCATGGTTGTACTAATTTGCATTCCCATCAACGGTGTACAAGCCTCCCCCTTTCCCCACATCCTTGCCAGTGTCTGCGATCTTTTGTCTTTTTGATAGTAGTCTTTCTAACTGGGATGAGGTGATAGCTCACTGTGGTTTCGGTTTTTTACACAGAGTGATCTGAGACTCAGAGGAACCAAGGAACCTGCCCGAGGTTGCCCAGCTGGTTGGTGGCAGAGATGAGCTGTGAGCCCAGGCGTCTGGTTCCAGAAGCAGTCTCTGCCTGCCATGCTGCATGTCTGGGCTCACTGCCTGCCAGTTCCTGGCCCTGGTTGGTTTCTGGTGCACTTGGGGAGAGGTCCTGGAAGTTCCTCTGCCCAAGGATGTTTTTTAAAAAACATTGTGGTGATATATACTTGACATACAATTTACCATTATAACTTTTTTTTTTTTGAGATGGAGTTTTATTCCTGTTGCCCAGGCTGGAGTGCAACGGCGTGATCTCGGCTCACTGCAACTTCCACCTCCCTGGTTCAAGCGATTCTCCTGCCTCAGCCTCCCAAGTAGCAGGGATCATAGGCATACACCACCATGCCCAGCTAATTTTGTATTTTTAATAAAGACAGGGTTTCTCCATGTTGGTCAGGCTGGTCTTGAACTTCCGATCTCAGGTGATCCACCTGTCTTGGTCTCCCAAAGTGCTGGGATTACAGGTGTGAGCCACCACACCTGGCCTCACTGTAACCATTTTTATGTGTTTAGTTCAAAGGCATTAAGCACATTCATTGCTGTGTAGACATCACCACTATCCATCTCCACGGCGTCCTCATCTTCCCAGACAGTAACTCTGTACCCTTAAATTAACTCCTCATTTTCCATCCTCCCTCCCATCCGGGGCACCCACCATGCTTCTTTCTGTTTTTATGATTTTAACGACTCTGGGTCCTTCACATAACTGGAACTTATATATAGCTGGGACTACAGGTGTGCACCAACATACCTGGCTAAGTTATTATTAACTTAAACTTTAAAAAATTGTTTACTTTCAGTTCTGGGATACATGTGCTGAACGTGCAGGTTTGTTACACAGGTGTACATGTGCCGTGGTAATTGGCTGCACCCGTCAACCCGTCATCTAGGTTTTAAGCCCCACATACATTAGGCATTTGTCCTAATGCTCTCCCTCCCCTTGGCCCCCCAACCCCTGACAGGCCCAGGTGTGTGATCTTCCCCTCCCTGTGTCCATGTATTCTGATTGTTCAACTCCCACTTATGAGTGAGAACTTGCAGTGTTTGGTTTTCTGTTCCTGTGTTAGTTTGCTGAGGATGATGGTTTCTAGCTTCATCCATGTCCCCGCAAAGGACACGAACTTGTTCTTTTCTATGGCTGCATAGTATTCCATGGTGTATATGTGCCACATTTTCTTTATCCAGTCTATCATTGATGGGCATTCGGGTTGGTCTGGCAGAGATGGAGTCTTACTATGTTGGCCAGGGTGGTCTGGAACTCCAAGATTCACAGATTCTCCTGCCTCATCCTCTCAAAGCACTAGGAGTACAGGCCTTTTGCCCTTTTGGCTTATTTTAAAGAGCACAGCGTCCTCAAGGTTCATTCACCACCGGGGGCTCCTTTCTTTTTAAGGCTGAATAATATTCCATTGTATGAGAAACTGATTATACTTGCCAAGAAGTTTGTCTTTCTGAACAGCCTGCTTTGTGCTTTATTTTTATTTTTTGGTCTTTCTGAATAGCTGTTTGTCTTATTTTTCTTTTTTTCTGAGCATTCCTGTATGCCAAACCTCTCTGAATATTCTTCTTTCTCTAATAGAAGGACCCAGAGAAGTATTTTCTTCCCAGTCTCAAGATGTCTCATTACTTAAGCCCTGGACATATTTTTTTTCCAGAGACATGGTCTCCCTCTGTCATGCAGGCTGGAGTAGGAATCACAGCTCACTGCAGCCTTGAACTCCTGGGCTCAAGTGATCCTCCCACCTCAGCCTCCCAAGCAGCTGAAACTACAGGCATGCACCACCAAACCCTGTGAATTTTTTGAAATTTTTCGCAGAGATGGAGTCTATGTTGGCCAGGGTGGTCTGGAACTCTGGAGCTCAAGTGATTCTCCTACCTCATCCTCCCCAAGCACTGGGATTACTGGCGTGAGCCTCCGTGCCTGGCCATAAATGGAATCTTAGTTCCTATTTTGATGAAGTTTAAGCTCTGTTCTTGGTGAAATATAAGCCTGAGAGGAGTCACTTTCTATCATAAAACTTGGCGATACTCTCCCTGAGTTTCCTGAATTGCATTTTATAGATATTTATTCCTTTTTCTTACTTGCATTTTTTTTTTTCTGAAAACAAGTTTTATTTAAATAGGGGTTTAAATACACTACACATAACATTAAAACTGAAAGGGAAAAAATCAAAAACCAGTTCGTTTCTTCCCGTGGCATTATGCAGCCGTAGCTGTGAAGGCGCAGGCTCTGCAGCTGGCCACATGACTCCTCAGTTTCAGATTTGTTCCCTTGTCAAAAGTTTAATTCTGATAGAAGGCTGGCCTCACATTCTGATGTTTGGATGTTCCTTAGCTAGGATACATGTAGTCAAACAGACCTTTGTGGCAAGCCTGATGTCCTATCATCTCACTAGAGGGAAGGGGACCTCTCTGAGCTCTGACCAGGTCAGGCTGGAGACAACACGGGATCTTCTACCACTAAAGGCTCCCTTCTAGTGGTACAGCTGCTGGTGCTGCCTTACCCCATCCTCTCCTCTCAGATTCACTGAGGACTGTTCAGGTGGTCACATTCTCTTAGGGCAGGGAACTCTGCAGAGGGAGAGCGGAGGAGTTTCTGGCCATGGTTGTCTGCGATCTTAGGGCTCTGGGCTTGGCTGAAACATGATGGTACTCCTTGGTTTCAAGCTTGACACTACCAGGCACCTACTGCCTGACCTCTGTTTAAATGAGGGACTTCAAGACTAAACAGCATGGCTCTTTTCAGTGTATTGCATGGAGTTACACTAGTCCAAGCTAAAAGCGGACCCCAGATGGATACATTATACAAGCTGTGAGGTTTTTAAACTTGTGACAAGGGACAGAAGGGAAATTCTGCTCGTTGCAAGGAAATCCTCACTCAAGCTTCAGTGAGCCACGAGCACTTAGAAGCCATGAACCTTCAGCTGATCGTCCTTGGCCAGTCCAGTCCCTAGGAGGAACTGGTGTATGTTCCTGCGCTGGTCCCTGTAGCTGAATTAGTTCTCTACATTCTGGGTGCTCATGTATAGCACCATTGCAGGCAAACTGCTTCTTAAACGCCGTCACTAGTTTCTTTTTTTTTTTTTTGAGACAGAGTTTCGCTCTCGTTACCCAGGCTGGAGTGCAATGGCGCGATCTCGGCTCACCGCAACCTCCGCCTCCTGGGTTCAGGCAATTCTCCTGCCTCAGCCTCCTGAGTAGCTGGGATTACAGGCATGTGCCACCGTGCCCAGCTGATTTTTTGTATTTTTTAGTAGAGACAGGGTTTCACCATGTTGACCAGGATGTTCTCCATCTCTTGACCTCGTGATCCACCCGCCTCGGCCTCCCACAGTGCTGGGATTACAGCACTAGTTTCTTTTTATCGTAATCATCAGCGATCCCTTGGACGGTAGTCAGGGTCTTGCTGCCGTTTCTCCGTTGAATTCTTATACGGATATAATCCTCAGTGCCAGCAGGAAGCAGGTCATCACCCTTAACTTGCATCAGCAAAGGGGTCGAAAGAGTGGAGGTTCTGGAAAGCGGACATACGATACGATTCCTTCTCCTGGGTGGAAACGGCCTGCGGAAGGCGGCGGCAGTGGGAGAAGGCAGGCAGCGGGGACGGAACGTCGGAAGCCGGGGGCTCAAGGGGGAGGCTGCTGAGTCCTCGGCGGTGGCTCAGTGACTGGGGCTCTTGCTTGTATTTCAAGCAAAGACACATGGGAGTCCATCCCTGGAGTCGCTGCTCACGCTCTTCTGTGAGTTGCGTATCCTGCCCAGTGGTGCTGGCAAATAGCATCTCAGGAAGCTGAGCACATGGTGACAACACTTTAAACATCTCGAGGGACTGTGTACTTGGGAACCCAAAACTTCACGAATCGAGTCTTGCTTGACTTTCCAAGACGGGAATTCAGAACCTGAAGCTCAGAGGTACAACTGTTTTCTAAGGCGGCTTGTTGATTTTCCCACCTGGAAAACTGCTGTGTCGTGTGACATCTTTCACGGTTTCCCTGGCATGAGTGGAGAGTCGTGGTTGTAATGCCGTGAGCGTTGCCACCTGAGGATGAGTCCAGGAGCAACCTCTGAGAAGAAATGTGTTCTGTGCCACGGATCAGAGGGCAGCCACGGCACCAGAAGCTTCCATTGTGCTCTGCCCAGCTTTGGGGTCTATGCCAAGTTACATTCTTGATGGCTACCCCTGTCTACAAACCCAAGGCAAAGTGGAGGGTTGAAGGTAAATTCCCAAATGACTGTCCAAACCTGTCAGTCAGTCATACTCCAGTTCCAGGTAAAAGATTCCAGCAGGGCCAGCTCCACTCTGCCCCTCCCCAGGGAGGGCAGATCCAGGCCCCAACCTTGCAGCTCAAGTAGCATTTGAATTCAGATAGAATTCAGGTTCAAGTAGAATTTGGGCTTGAAGTGCCTGAACAATTGCTGCTGGATATCCCAATAAAGGACACAGATTGGAAAGGTAAACTGAGGCAGGCTTCCAGAGGTGGCTTCCTGACCCCTGGTCCCCCCAGAGACTGGAGTCTGGGAGAGACAGTTCCCTGTGCAGGGCCCCTGGGTGCTAGGTCAGGCCCTGCCATCCTCTCTGGTGGCCCTGATCACAGAGGACTCTGTGGTTCACCCCAGGGTTGGTTCCCCCTGGGGTCTGATCTCTCCATGTTGCACTGATGAGGAACAGATATCCCCAATGGGGTCTGGGGGTACCTCATCCTCCCCACTCGGCCTCTGTCCTGGTGGTGCCTGCTAGGTGAGAGCAGTGCCTTCCCACTGGGTGGAGAAGGATAAGGGCTGTGTGAGAGCCATGGAGAGCCCTAAATAACCCGGACTTCCTCCTAGAAAGTGGTGCCTGGTCCCCCTCATCTTCAGGGCCATAGGCTCCACCAGGCCATGGAGACCTCTCCTCTTTTGTTCCCTCTGCCTTGTACCCCCAAGGCTCCTTGGGGAGATCCAGGAGGGCAAAGGGCTCAGATCTTCTGAGGCTCAGTTTCCTGCCTTTAGAAGGCGAGGGGTGTGCTGGGAGAGCCCTCGGAGTGGCCCGGGGCATGCATAGGGTTTTGGAACGGCTGGGTTCCGCATTGTCCAGAGGCTTTCCTTCCAGAGACAGAGTCTCTTCCAGAACAGCGTCCCAAGGGTTGATGACAGGCAGTCACCTCCCTGGTGTGGCTGAGAGAGGCACAGCCTCCCCTCCACCGTACAACAGCCACACTGCACCTTGATCAAACTAAAGTCTTCTCTAGGGAACAAAAGTTGGAGCCTCTTAATGACAGCACAGATCCTAGCCTGGGGTTTTTATTTTAAGCCCAAAGAGAGTGACTTGATGATGTGCTCCTTTTTCCGGAAGAGCTTGCTGAAGCTGGGGGTGAAGGAGACTTTGAGAGGCCTCCCAGAGAGGTCCCAGCCCCCACAGCTGTGCATGCTGTCTTCGAGGACAAGAGGAACTTGGCGAGGTGCTAGGGATCTTGGGGTGAAGAGATTTTTCTAGGTGGACCCTAAATGAAGCTACAAGCATTTTTATTAGAGGGAGGAAGGGGGAGATTCCAAATGGAAGAGAAGAGGCCACGTGCCGCTGAGCAGGGACTTGGAGTGATGTGGCCACAAGCCAAGGAGTGTGGTGGGTGCTAGAAGCCCAGAGATGCGGAAAAGGATTCTCCCTGGAGCTTCTAGAAGGAGCCAGCCCTGCCCACACCACCTTGATTTTAGCCCAGTGAAGCTCATTTTGGACTTCCGGTCTCTAAAAGGGTGGGAGGACAAGTGTGTTGTGTTAAGGCACAGTCAGTGGTTTGTGATGGCAGCCACAGGGAATGTGTGCAGAGGAACGAGGTCGCTGAGGGTCCAGAGGAAAGAATAATGATCCAAGGAGTGGGAGCTGAAGAAACAAAGCTGCTCCACCCGCTGCACACACGGCTTGGCACTTTCCCCCAGAAATCTGTAAAGAAAAGCTGGGTAATTTATAAAGAAAAGAGGGTAATTTACAAGGAAAAGAGCTCACAGTTCTGCAGGCTGTACAGGAAGGGTGGTGCTAGTATCTGTTCAGCTTCTGGAGAGGCCTCAGGAAGATTTCCATCGCAGGGGAAGGTGAGCAGGGAGCCAGCATATACATGTTGAGAGTGGGAGCAAGAGGGAGAGGGAAGGAAGCCTCAGATTCTTTTATTTTATTATTATTATTTTTAGACAGTCTTGCTCTCTCGCCTAGGCTGGAGTGCAGTGGCATGATCTCAGCTCACTGCAACCTCTGCCTCCTCGGTTCAATTCAAACGATTCTCCTGCCTTGGCCTCCCAAGGAGCTGGGATCACAGGCATGTGCCACCACGCCCAGCTAATTTTTTTGTATTTTTAGTAGAGATGGGGTTTTACCATGTTGGCCAGGCTGGTCTCCAATTCCTGACCTCAAGTGATCTTCCCACCTCGGCCTCCCAAAGTACTGGGATTACAGGCATGAGTCACCACGCCCAGCCCCAGACTCTTAAACAACCAGATCTCGTGTGAACTCACTGAGTGAGAACCCACTCCTCACCAAGGGAACATTCATGATGGATCTTGCACGTGATCCAACACCTCCCACCAGCCTTCACTTCCAACACTGGGATTCACATTTCAACATGAGATTTGGAGGAGACACCCATCTAACCTGTATCGCCTACTGTGTGCTCTTTACTCATTTAAGGTATGTTGTGATGTGAACAGACCAGCGTGTAGCAGAGTCGATGACCTCTACAGTCTGGTGAAAAGGAATTTACCAAAAACATCTCTGGAAGGAGACACAGAGGGGCTAGCTGGGTTACAGGGAAATGGTGGGCAGGGGTTTCTACTGGATGCTCTGGTTCCTTTTCCATTTTGAGTCATGTAAAAGTCTCACCTATTCAAAAAAATCTACTTAAAATGAAAGACATCAAGTAAGAACCACGGAATGAACTACAACTTTAGAGAGGAGCCGTAAAAACAACATCCTCAACAAGCTGTGGTCTCTATCTGCTCCTTTCGCTTTCAATAAATCTGTTCCCCTTCAGTGGAATTAGTCAATGTTAACAACAGCAGAGAAGAATGAAAGAAGGAAAACAGAACTCTCCTCTGTAGTCTCTTCTTTGCAGCCCTGAAGTCTCCAGTACTTTCTGTTTTCCTAAAGACTTTTAAATGGACTGTAACATGATACCCAACAACTAAGAACTTTGCCTCAGAATTCTGGGCAGTGGTACTATTGAAATATCACAAAAGGAATGATTACTGGCACATTATTCACTAATGTTATGCAAGGTATATGATAGTAGCTCAGACATGGGGCTTGGAGTGAAACAGATCTGGGCTTGGAGACTGTTTTGAATAATCATAAGCTATGTGACCTTAGGCAAGTGAATCACCATGTTTGACCCTCTGTATCCTCATTAGTTAAAAGGGGAGAATAATAGTTCCTGCCTTGTAGGATTGCAGTGGGTGTGTGGCTGATGACAGTGATGGTGACAATGGTGACCCTCATGACTGCCTGCCACAAATTAGACCCAGGGTGGTGCTCATCCCCATGTCCCTGTGGTAAGACTGCCCTCTGATATCTGGGACAAATGTCCCTTGGGTTTCATGGTCAGACGGGAGATGTGGGCCATGGAGCTCTGGGCTCGACGTTCTCCTCTGGAGCACGGCGCCGTGCTGGTGGCCTCCCATGGTGCTCACGCCAGTCTTGCCGGCACTTGCCCCTCCTTGCCCAGCCATGGGCTTAATCCATCCACCGCCCTGCCTGGATCGCTCTTGGCTCCTCATGGTGATGAATGTTCTCAGTGTTTGCCTTGTGGAGCCCACATTCTCTCGCCCTTCTTCCCTGTTCACCCCTGGGAAGATCCCTCGAGGGAGCCAATTAACACAACGTTTTCAATGGCAGCCCCTCTTGGAACGTGTGCAGCTTTATTTGGTTTTCTTGTTGCCACCCAAGCATGGAATCCTCTCAGGGCTGGGCTGTGCTCGTTTCACTGATGAACAACAAGAATAAATGCTGAGCTCACTTTACACCCAGAGCCCACTGTTCCAATCCACAGGAAGGGAATTTCAGGGAACTTGATATCATTGTTCTATTTAGAAAGGAAGAAATCTCTTAGGAGCAAATGTGTTGAGAATGAATGGGTAACTTTTTTTTTTTTTAATTTTTAGAATATTATATTTACTTACAAACTGCTTCTGGGGGCCCAGGAGCCAAACTCATGTTTTTGGAACTAATTTAAATTTTCTACAGCAATTCCGTAGCTCCTGCACCAAAGGAAAAACAGAGGCCTTCCTGCTCCCTCCCCCACCATTGAAGAAGCCATGTGTATAGTTATCTGCTGCTGTTAAACAATTTTTTTTCCTTAAATTTAGCTGCTTCAGACAGCAATAAAAATTTACTATCTTACACAGTTTCTGAGGGTCGGGAGGTCAGAAGCAGCTCAGCTGGGTGGCTGTGGTCTCTCATGAGGCTGTAATACATGACGGCAGTTGGGCTGCAGTCTCATCTGAAGTCTCAACTGGGGCTGGCAGATCTGCTTCCAAGGTGGCTCCCACACATGGCTGTGGGCAAGAGGCTTCAGTTCCTTGCCAAAGGGGCCTTTCCATAGTGCTGGGCA